AATATTTCTAAAGGCAGACATTTTACCGTTTCTACAACGTTGCAGCAACATTTTGCAACGTTTTTGCAACATTACAATCTTGCAAGGAAAGATTGCTACAATTTTGCTGCAATCGTTCTGTGCTGTATGGGATAGTTTGTCATACCAATTCCACAGCTCTTGGAAAAAAAAAAACTTCTCGCCTCCTCTACGATTGCGATTTTTCATTAGTTCGTTTCTCGGTTGCGTGAGATTTTTTTTTTAATCATGGCAGTATATAAGGCATGCGCGTTCTTTTTTTTCCTTTTTTCCCCCTTCGTCTCGCGTATGTGTCTTAGCTTACGTGTTTATACTCTCACGACGGTATTATTATCGACGTTTTTAGATCTATCGTCTACTCTCTCGCCGCGGAAGACGAGAAACGAATTAATCGTAGATATATTTAACATGATTTTTTTTTCTTTTCGCTCCTCCTTTTTCTCCTTTTAGTGAAAATGTGAACAACTTCGAGTCAAAATTTCAACATACATAAGCAAAAACTACTTCTCGTGATTGATTATCAATAGGTCGCTATTAATGACAAACACGTTTTATGTCTTACGTTAAGTCTTATTTCATTGCTACATTCAAAAACTTCACGTTTCCGATAATAAAAATCGTTAGACATCAACATGCACCTAACATCGATAGAGATTGCTTATCGTTTCCCTTACGCTAACGCATTTTTTTGTTTACACGTGACAACTCGTTTCGAATGTCGTTATATACGCCTATCGCTTACTATTTACAGTTTCTCGAGTCGATGATGATGATAATACTTGCTGATAGCGATTACTATTTAGAAACTCTCGATAAGGTATCTCTCATATTCTTACAATTTTTGTGACTTACACGATTTTCTCTTCATTAGATTCTATTCGTTAACGCTCGTCTATGTGATGTAAAAACTAAGCAAAAAAAAAAATGTAATAATATTATCTACACACAATTCAATATCGCGTCCTCGTAAATTATAAATACAGTATGAAAAATGCGTCCATTAGTTTTTTGTTTTACATGAATAAATACTATACAGTTTCGGGAGGGGAGAATAGGTTAAAATTTTCTTTTTTAAATGCGCCAAGTGATTTCTCGATTGGATCCTGCCCAATCCTTTACGTCATTAACGTTATCTGTCGTCGTTAGCTCTCTAATCCTTTAGCACGCTTCGTGATGTACGTATAAAATGACACTACTCTATTAGTACGCTAATAGAAACAGTTCGCGGCAGTCTTGCTGCTTGTGTTAACTCGCTTTCTTTTTCTAAGAGAAAAATCGTGTAACGAGAAGCTCCAAATAGGAGAAATGACAATTGCAATTTTATTAATATGAATAAACTAGGGAATAATTATTGCTATATATTTAAAATCCTCGTCGACGCGAGACATTTTTAAATCCTTATTAAAAACACGAAGCGTACTAGAAGAAAACAGGTATACAAAAAGTGTACAGTTTAACGTTACTGGAAGAGTACATTATACTTCCGTGGTACGACTGTAAGGGCCGGACTCTTCAGATTGCGATAGTTTTCGTTCTCGTTTGGCGAAGAGACCTCCTAAAAAAGACGGCTGCTGAACCAGTCCCTTACCACCGACACCAGGGATCGTAGCCCCTGGATGAATAGGATGAACTTGTCCTGGATGCTTAATGCCTTGGCTCATCGAGCTGGCAGAAGTTGATTGAAATGAAATAGACATACCGCTATCTAGAGAACCCACGCTTCCACGACGCTGTGGCTTCTCACCGGCAACTAAACACATATATATTGACACGTTAAAATTTAAATGTTCACATATGTATATTTGCGAAAATATAAAAGTATAAATATATGTACTTCTCTCTGTACTTACACTGCTCGTGTATGTCCAAAAGGGAATTACTGAGGGCGGAACGTTTCAATTGCGTGTCGACATCGACTGTTTCTGCTCTGTCGGAAAAAGTCCCGGGGCAAGGGCATATCTCCACATCGGCAACGCCGGAATCTCTGTTTTCCGCACCGCCCCGCGCGCCCCTACTGCTCTTTTGTCTTTCCAATTCGGTTTCGATACGCAAAGTTTCCATCTCATCCATCTCGCTGATGGACTCCCTAAGATCTTCCACAAATTTACACCTGTCATGCTCGTTTCGAGCGTTAAATGTGACTAGAACTTTTCCGTCGACACGCTGAGAGAGCCTTATGCCGTATGGATAATCTGCAAGACAGATGATAAGCAATCAAGAGTAAAAATCATGTCAATATTTAGATATGTTTCTAAACTTATTTTATTGTTAAAACTTACGGGGAACTTCGAATAGAGTAACCACCATGCCGCAAAGTGTGAAGCTCTGCCTGAAAGTGTAAGTTACGCTGTTCTTTTTCTTGCTCAGGATCTTCGTAACGACGAGCAGGTCGTTAAAGAGGAAAACCTCTCTCTGATGTACGCCGGGTCTCTCCTTCTTGTGGATGTCCGGTATCTCGTAGAGCCTGCAGTAACACACCAATCTTCTATGCGGCAGCGCCATGTTTGGCTTCTTTCCAACAATAGTCGCTTGGACCTTCATCACTTGCGACACGTGATCGGAGCCGGGCTTGAATTCGTTATCTTTCACCCGTTCGTAAATGCCAACTAGGATATCCCGGTCTATGTCGCCGCAATCATCAATTCCTCGTAGATTCTTTATGAAATCCTCGAGTCTCATTCTGCGCTCGGGCTTTAGATTGGGTGTATGCAAATCCGTATTAAGCATGATAATAGCAAAGGCCAAGACAAAAACGGTATCTGCCGACCGCAGCCTCGATATTACGTCGTGATTGCATTGGCAATAACGTTGACTGAAGACCTCCATTAACCGCTCGATCTTTTGCGCCTCGCCAGGCATTCTGAAGTAGGCTTGAAACTTTCGTAAAGCGACATCCACTTGCATTCCGGAGAGATCTAACTCCTGAGAGAAACATCTGCAAATTATAAGTAGTAAGTTATAGTAGATATAATAAATAATAATTAAAGTAAAAAAAATATGTATGTTTTTTAAATATATTACAAAAGTATTATTTTAATAAAATATTTTAAATACATATAACCAATGGGGCTATCTTTTATTAACAGAAATTTATAATATTTATTTTTTATTCTCGAGATTGATTCAAATGTATTTAAGTATATTGAGCCACTCACTCAAGCACTGCCATATTGAAAGTGTTCTGCAAATTCCCGAGGTACTCTCCTATCATCTGTTTGGACAGTCCCTTTCGACTGATTAAAAATCTGGCGACTCCTTGCGGACTGTTCTCCAAAAATCCACGTCTGATGAGGTAACTGATCCCTCTTTCCGGTTTCTTATTGAAAAGATTTAGGCCGACCCTGTATTGTCGTTTCCTCACTGTTTCGGACACCTTGTAGCTCGTTTGAGGCGGGAGACTCTCCGTGTGGTCCATCAGAGGAAGCTGGTAGCCGGAGCTGGCATGTGAGTGACCGAGCTCCTTCACGTTAGCGGCCATCGCCGCCGTGTCTCCGGTATGACTCGCGCATTCCTGATGTTCCGGCGAACTCGACTGATTTCACAATCAGAAACCGTTCCGTTAAACGCATTTCGCTTACGTCCTCAAGAAAACGCCGTTACTTGCGCTAAGCGAGTAAGTAAAGCGCAAATATAATAAGACAAAGAATAAAATCGTTTATACTCACGATCCCCTTGTGCTTCCAGACGGGCGACCCTCTCTGAGCATCGCCCTCGGAGCTCTCGCAATTGGTGGAATCGCTGCCGGAACTCTGCACCGAGCTTAGACTTCCGTTCTCCACGCTTTTACTAAGACCATTGTGTCGTGGTTCCATAGACCTCGAGGAGATGGAAGACGTTCTCTTCGGCACCTCCGGCGGGACCTTCTTACTGGCGGAACATCTCGTTCTGCCAGGACCAAGCTGGTTGGCATTGTTCCAATTTTGCGATATAGTCGTCTGTAGATTGTGCGGCGTCGACGGCGATGTACATGGTGTTCGCAGCAAGTCTCTCGGCGGCGTCTCTTGTCTCAGTCCGCACAAGGCTTCCTGCGTTGGAAATGGAAATCGTGTCTTTGCATCAAATTAAGGCGATAAAAACGAGATATAGCGTTGTAACAAATTATTATATCGCGTTCATTTTACGATGTAATTGATCGTCCGCCGAGTGTTCCTTTGCCATTTAACGGTGCCCGTTTACGTTTATCGACACTCACCTGTGGATTGTAGTAATGGATACTGGAGCCGCTCTCCTGGGAGCTCGACTCCCAGCAGGGACTCGGTGGTAATTGCTGATGTCGGTTGCACGGGCTGGGCGCCAATGAGGGCGTGTGTCTACCGCTCTGATGCAAATTATGGTTTGTGTGCTGATGGCCGCTGATCTGAACCTCGCATCTACCGCTCTGACTCCTCGGTATAGGCGATTGCGAGTTGTCCACGTGCCGCCTCTCCCTGAGAGACATGCTTCGGATCGGCATCGGTCTGTTAGATTCGCAGCCAATTTAGCGCGATAAATATTTTTGTAACGCTCTGACGGAAGTACGTCCGCGCGGAGATCCACGTCTCGACTTACCTGTTAGCGGACTGCGCCTGCTGAATGTATATCTGGCTGTGATAAACCATTCTCTCGTGATCGTTGAGGTTGCCCGAGCGATCGGTCGCCGCTTCCTGAAGCTTCCTGCTCAATCGTTTCTCCGCCTTGGCCATCGCCGTGATCGCCGCGAACTTCTTCAGCAACGTGTACCTCCGAAAGGCGCGTTGAATCGTCAACGCCGCGTTCCGCGCCTTCACGCCGCCGTACTTCCGCTCCAGCATCTCGATCTGCTTGTCAAGTAGATCCTGCGACAGCTCGTATCTGTAACGAAACGAAACCACGCAATTTTTTTAACTGCCCTCTGAATCATTCTCCTGGCTACGATCCACAATACGATTTTTCATCCGCACGTGAATCATTACAGTTCCGCGTATCTGTTGTTCGTTCGCGGTCGCGTAATAAGAAAGAGAACGTGTGTATAAGATTACGATCACTTACGCGGTCTGCAGTCGACACCGCTTGAGCACATCGCCGTTGCGAACCGAGCCCTTCTTAAGGTGGCTCTGCTGATACCCGCCGGACTGTGGTTGCCCGCCGAATCCCTGCACCATGGTGCCGTAGCTCTGCGGCTGCGAGTAGCCCGTCGCGTTGTGCGAGTAGACCTGCACACCCGCGGCAGGATACGGAGGCCCGTGCGCGTAATTCTGATTCTGCATGTAGGACTGGCCGGTGATGTACGACGTCGTCGACAGGGACGTCTGGCTGCCGGACGAGTACGCGCCGTGCATGCTGTTGCCGTGGATCTGGCTAGCGGCCGTGCTGCTGTGCGACGTCAAGGGTCTCTCCACCTTCGTCGGGAAGCTGCAAAAGAAGACGTATACGTAATTAATTTTTTGCTCGGGAAAGACGTTGAGAAGTTACTTCCTAAACTCAGGTTGTTAATGGCTTCTGCATCCTCCAATTGTTAAGTGCTTTTCTAATAAATCGCCTCGTAGAGGCGAGTATTGGATATGACAAAATCGTGGAGGATCATCGACAGGAAAAAAAAAAAAAAAACACCGAACGAATAAAATCTCGAATGAAGAGATTTCTATCTCTAGATTTTCGATTTAGTTTCTCGTCATCCTTTCGATGGTACCACTACAATTTATATAAGACAGCCTGTACAAAGAGAAACACTATGCGGCAAAGATCCCCGTACGGGGATAATTGAAATCAGATAAACGACATCGTATCGCGCCCCTATTCACGCGACTGCAACGCCAGGTGTCTTCAATTATTTAGACAGACGCGTACATGCGACGTATACGCGGATCGTAAGAATAAAGAGGACGCACCCCCTGAAGTGGTAAACGCAAATGATCATGTTGCTTCCGTGAACTCGGACGACTTTCCACGTGTATCGAATTGCGCGATCTATCTTCGTCTATCTATGATGCGGTGTGGTTGCGTGCCACGGACACGTCCTCGATGCAGCAGCGGCTCGCTCTTGCGCGCAATTACACCACGCGATTGCGCCACGGTACTGTTTTCTTCTCTCGCGAAGAACGAGGCCCGCGCGCGTCTCCTCGCGTGTCGACCACCTTGAGCACCGAAGACGAACTGACGCGATGGTGGAGCGTGGAGGAGCAGCTGGGCCCTTCTCGAGGCCCGCTTTTTTCGGATTGGAACAAGAAATCCCTGAAAGGACGAGAGGGGTATATGAGCCCTCTTCCCCCCCC